TCCTGCCAGGGAGCTGCAGAGAGCGAGAAGGTCTCCCCTCAGCCTCCTCTTCTCCAGCTGAACAGCCCCAGCTCCCTCAGCTGCTCCCATCACACTTGTTCTCCAGACCCTTCCCCAGCTCTGTTGCCCTTCTTGGGACACGCTCCAGCACCTCAAGGTCTTTCTTGTTGGGAGGAGCCCCAAACTGAACACAGGGTTTGAGATGCAGCCTCACCAAGCGCTGAGTAATTATTATTAACTGAGTTTGACAGATATCTGAGGGTGAGGAAGGGAAACGATGCTGCTGATGGCTTTCAATATCAAACTGCTCCTGGACACAACTCAAGCATCTCATCTTTTTCCAGCAAGCGCGGCAGGACGTGTGTTATAACCCTGAGTGGCTGCAAACATGGTGTAACACACCGGAACAAGCAGCTGTCACGGATCCCACTAAGAAAGGCACCTGGACTCTGTAAATTATTGATTAAAGTAACTTTTAGTGGCGAGAATGGGAAAAGGAAAAAGGGAGAGTATAGATAAGCTTACGCCCCTACAGATACTTGGAAGACGAGCTTCACCACGGGCAGATTGGTGCCCCAAACCAAAGGTTCGGCTGATGTTGCATCCTTCAAGATTACCTGCACACGAAGGGATGTTCAGATTGTCTTTGCTATCCCCTTTTTTCTTCTCATGTTGTTACCAGTGAAAGACAGTTTAATCAATACTTTAGGCAGCAGCACCGCGCAGCAACGGCACTTCCAGGCAGCTCGTGGGCCGCTGCCAACTTAGCGCGAGGAATGGATGTGCCCAGCCAGGCTTGAGTTTGCGGCCGAGAATTTACAACCCTGAACTTACAGGAAGCATCAGACACGAGAGAGGAACCAGCCAGAGCAAAGCCAAGCCCAGCCCAACCACTGATCCCAGGGAGACACAGGCATCGCGCTCCGCGGGGGTGAGGTTTGTCCTTCAGAGTCACCAGGAGACGTGATGATCCCTCTGGCAACAAAAGGACAGACCTCGAGCATGCTGGAAAAAAGCCTTCTCAGATAATAGACCGCGAGGCACATTTCCTATTAAAGAAAAAAGATAAATCTCAATATCTTCAGAGCTAATTTTCAGCTACGAGGGAGAAAAGCAAGCACGCGACAGCTTATGTCTTCTGCTTTGTAATTATCATTTTGGCATCGGGGGACTTTTGCTTCTGGTTTCTTAATGTATAAGAATCCTTGTCCACTACACTGCTTCCAAGGCAAGGGGGAAAATCATTAATACAGACAACAAAGTAATCTTATCTAGCATAAACACAGCCAAAGAGGAGGTTTGCTCAGTATAGCGCCTTCTGCTCAACAGGGCACACTCACCCTAGAAATCAGCTCCCAGCCAACAGCTGGGAATCTTCAGTTAACAGCTTATATACAGGAAAATTAAATTATGTCTGAGAATAGCAAAGCAGGAAAACAACACTTAAAGCAGGGAAATTCACTCCATGTTGCTTTCGTTCAGAATCTGTGAATGCCACTCTAAGTTTCAAGAGATCATTTAAAAGGCTCCCTTTCCTCCCAGAATGACAGTGTTTAAAAATACTTACCAGGTCCTTTTCCTTTAGATTTTCTACTAAGCAATCCATTTTATATTGATCCTTCTTCGATATTTCTACTTCATACAGACTGAAGTAAATGCCCTGAAAGCAGACTGCAGACAAAAGAGAGAGAATTGGGTGCTGATACCGTGCTTCTTGCATGAACCCTGAACAAACAAGTGCTCCTGTACCAGGAAGGAGGGTGTGCAACTGGTGGTAGCATTGGATTTTATAAACAAACAAACAACTTATCAAGATTTCCCAAGCTGGTGTGTGAATTCATATCGCAGTGAGTTTCCTCTTCAAGCCACGGTTGACAAGAGACGTTTCCTATCTTATCTCTGCAGTTAATAAAAGCAATTTAACCAGTGCCGTGTGCCTCGACAGACAGGGAGCCTTTGGGAGGGAAATCCCTCATTCTAACACGCTTATTCTCCCCTGCTACAGAGCATCCTGATCCTCAAAAGAGTTTAACAAAGGCGAGATCTTGGACCCAACTTTACTCCCCCGAAACTCACAGCAAAAATCTTCTGTTGAAGGAGGGGGCTGCGGGAAAGAAGGGGAGGGACTCTTTATCGGGGAGGGCAGTGATAGGACAAGGGGAAACAGTTTCAGACTGAAAGAGGGGAGATTTAGATGAGATATGAGGAAGAAATTCTTCACTGTGAGGGTGGTGGGACCCTGACGCAGGTCGCCAGAGAATTTGGGGGTGCCTCACCCCTGGCAGTGCCCAAGGCCAGGTTGGACGGGGCTTGGAGCAACCTGATCTGGGTGCCCCTCATGACAGGGGGTTGGAATAACATGAGCTTTAAGATCCCTTCCAACCCAAACATTCTGTGATTCTAAGTATTTCCTCTTTCACCAGCCTGACCTTAAGACTGCGGTGTCTCCATCATGTCTCACTGTGGCCTTCCCTCAACTTCTCCTGCCTCCTGCCCTGCCCTGGAGCTGTGCTGTGTCCTAAATGCTGAACCCCAAAACTGTAAGCTGAACGCTGCCCCGACCCGGCTCAGCATTGCTGAGACACGGACGGGACGCAACCCTGCAGCAGCCCACACTGCAAGACAACAGGGGAACACACGTGGAGCTTCCGCAAATCGCATCCCAAGCTCTCCATGATCAGCTCGCAGTATCCGTGCCAGCGACCGTGTGTCCACTGCGACGAGCGGTCAGTCACAGCCATCAGGAAGTCAGCACCTCAGGGCTGAGAGCTGCCAGGCTCGTCAGAACTCCAACCCCCTGTCCTGGGTTTAGCTAAAATCCAGTTCTGTTTAGTGATTTTTCCTT